AAACTCAGAAGAGTTGCCAAAAAGTAATTATAAAAAAATAGATGAAATTTCATTGTACAGTAAAAAGTCTAGTTTGTTACACAGGAAATTGAAATCTTTCTGTTTACACACATATATGATGTTTTATATACATATGCATACATACATATATACATATACATATATGTAATATATATAATGCACACATGTAATATATATAATGTATATGTACTTACATATACACATATGCCTTTATAATCATAAAGCCAAGTTTCTAAGAAGCATATAAAGTAATTCAGATTTATGTAAAAGTCCTAAATTCTGAAAGAGCTCAGGCCAAGATACATGTCACTAACTAACCTGACTGCCTAGAAATTCTGAGGAAAGAATGAGACTGGGGGAAAGAAAGGAAAGTGACCCTCAGACAAAGACGCTTTGTCTGAAAACAACAACAAAACACAGTCTCACAATCCTTAGCTCACGCTCCCTAGTAAGGTACAGAGCCTGCAGTAAAAATGTCATGATGCATTCTTCATGAAAGTAACAATCCATGAGTGACTGGGACAGATATTTGATACCTTCATTGAACGAGAACTAAGAAAACCTTTCAAGAAATGCCCAACATAGGCAGTATTGACACACATTAAGACATGGCAGCTCTGAGTAATCAAGTACAGCTCTGCAGGGTAGGTTAGATTACCTTTCCAGCCTGGCTCTGGAAACAGACCTTGTTTTTACCCATCAAAACTTTTGATAACTTTCTCCTTAATAGAGTTGGATAGTCGGCCCCTCCTCTCCTCTCAGCATCTGGGATGTCTGCTGAAGAGATCTGCAAAACTAGAGGGACTAAAGTCACTTCACAGAGACTCTTGTTAGAATCTAAAAAGAATCCACAAAGAGAAGAACCTAAAATACTGGTAGTCTGAAATAGCTGACTTTCTATTCACTTAGTGACTCCTGCTACAGTTTCCCCAACAGTTGCAATTACCAAAATCCCATTATCTTAAATCCTCTCTGCATTTTTCTTATTGACAGCAAGTAAAGTGTAAGCTATCACTGAATATCCTTCAGTAAAGAGTGAAAACTTGTTTAGCCATGGTAGCACTATCACTTGTGATATCCAAAGGATTAATCCCTCTTGTTGAGTTCTGCCTAGTGAGATGGAATTTCATTAAATAAATCTATGCTAACTTTCCTCTAGTCATCTTGAAATAAAACTGAGTGCACCATTATCCAGTCTTCAAAGATCCTCATGGTTATCCATGGAATGTCAAAAGAACTATGGAGTGCTCTTTCCAGTATTAAAACCTCAGTCATCCTTGCAGTGCCCTGTAATAATGTCAGGCTTGAAATCAGCACTTTCACTGCGTAGCACAGTGACCACATTTTCAGAGAAGGTGCTACCTATGCCACAGGCAAGTATGGCACCCTGCAGTGCCTCCACAGCACCAAAGTCACACTCAGACATTTACTGTGCCCATGAATTTATAGCAACATTCCCATGAAAGAGCCAGAAATGCATCTGTCTACTACAGTAACCTTAGCTACACTTGCCTATAGAGACAGGTCTGAAATCAAAAGAAACTGTGGATAATAACCACTCCAGAATAAATACACTTCAAACACTCCTACAATAGGAGTCCAATTTTTTTCATTTTACAGCTAAAAATAGAATACTACCAGTGTACAATGACTGTCTCAAACTGCAAGAGGCAGCTGATCCATGGCCATTAGAGATAATATTTTTCTGTCTTCTTGCATTGCAAGAATGTGTAACTTTGCAACCACTCCCCATACAACACACATTTGATTAATTGGCTAATGCCCAATGGAGAAGAGATTGCAGTTGAAAGGACGCACAATGCTACCAGGTCAAAAGTGGCCCTCACCTCTTAGCCTGGAGGCAGAAATTAGAAGTTCAAGCTACAAACACACGTCAGCTTCCAAACTGGTTATTCTAGCCAGAGATATATTGCTTTTAGGCAGGAGGACAGGCAGAGGATCCATCTATCAGAGCAGGGCAAGAACATCGCTGGCAATATCTGCTTGATGCTGATGCCACTGAAGGCTCAGCCGCACTCATTCTGCCCAGCACAGCACACAGCTTCACCAATAGCCAGTTCTTGGCTCTGCTGCTTGCTCAGCTGAACAAGATGAATATATATATATATATGCTTAAAAACAAACAAACAAACAAACCCCAACTGCTAAAAACAATATACTAAAAATAAACATTCTTCCTCCACTCATAAACAACCCTGTAGATGCAGATAAACAGATGATTTAACAAATCATTTCACCAAGCCTTCGAACAGTAGCTCATGGCAGTGAGTCTGTCTGTCTGATAGATTTTCTTTCCATCTGTGAATACTCTAACTTTACACAAGTGACATGTTATTAAGCTCTGTTTTCAGGTTCAAAAGGGCTCAGAAATCAGCACCAAACTCAGTCCTAGTGTGGGTAATCTGTTTTGAGTATTACTGCACAAATCATGACAGAGAACCAACAGTAGCAACTCATGCCAGATTATTACTAACTCAGTCTCACTCACCTCATGTACAAACACTGCTGGTTTTCACCATAGTTAAAAACATAAACAGCAGTTTTCTTCTTGGCAAAAACCAGTATGAAGGGAGCATGTGAATAGTCTACTTAGATAAGAATTTTTATAAGATGACTTTACTTTCTCCACGTGAAGCAGCTCCTTTCCCAGGCAATTACCTATCTCAGCAACAGACTAAAGGAAACACACCACTGAAGACTCCAAAACACAGTGGTGCCAGTTCACACATAACGCAATCACTATTGGTATTTTTCCCGGTCATTCTGATCTCTTATTATGAAGTGACTTGGGTCATTGAATATTGTCCCAGTAAAATCTACTGAAAACATGCTCTATTCCATAATCTCTGCAAGCCTAACTTGAATCTAAGACACTGCAATGTTCAAGAGGGATTTGTTTTGGTGCAATACAGCTGAAGCCAAAGAAATCATTATAGCAAATGATCTTTGAATGCACACAAAAATCAAAGAGAAGGCATATAGGATATGCAATAGCCTAATTTACAAATCCTTGCTTAAAATCAAGTTTGTTTTGATAGTGCTGCTGATGCTGTGCCAGCCAGTAACAATACTATTTACCCCTTCAGAAAGTCCATATTTTAGAAGAAGAAACTATTTTCTAAATAGGGTTTACTTTTCCTGCAGCTTTGTAACTTTAAAGATCTTGTCTGGCACTTAAACAAATGCTATGTTTAAAATTCCCATTTTGATGCTGACATTTTAAGCTTCTCTGAAAAGGAAGGGGGGGTTTTCAGTGTTCCCACAACCCTGAATCCAAAGAACTCCCCATCCACCATTTTCTCTGATATGTCAAATCAACCCTGTACAAGGCCAGCTCAGTGCAGAGTTAATGCAGTAAGCTTAGAACAGCACCTCAAATGTGCACCTCAAAATTCAATGTGCACTCGGTTTTACTTTAAACTACGTCCCTGGTCCCAGCTGTGCATCAACAGGCAGCTCTGGACTATCGAGGGCAGTTTCAAGGCACTGTACAATAGTGCAGAAAAGCAAAAGTGAATCAAACACCTTCCCAACAAACCCACACCAAGAATCCTATTCTGTCCTAAACACCTCTTCTATCGGACAGGGGAAGCCGAAAAAGAGAGGACGACAAGCATTCTGCTCCAACTCTCCCAAGACCTGGCGTTGGGTCAGAAAGCCACATATATCCAGAAACTATCACAGAATCAACTAGATTGGAAAAGACCTCTGAGACCATCAAATCCAACCTATCACTTAACACCACCACGTCAACCAGATCACGGCACTAAGTGCCACATCCAGCCTTTTTTTAAACACCTCCAGGGACAGTGACTCCAATCCATCCCTGGGCAGCCCATTCCAATGTGTAATCGGGATTCCTCCTTACGTCCAACCTAAACCTCCCCTACGAGGGAATGTCTTTCACAAAAAGTAGCCAGGAGGAAGAGCTGGGAGGCAGAGAGGTCTAAACACTCCACGGTAAAGAAAGGAGAGAGCTGCGGGTGCATTTGCATGTGCTGGGGGGGCATAACCGGGAAGGGGATCAGAAGATGGATGTGCACGAAGAGACGGGGGACACAGAGAGGCGTAAGGACCGATGGGAAAAGAACACGGACAGAGGGAAAAGAGGGCAGGGAGCAAAGGGGTGGGTGGACAACAGGCAAAAGGGACTACGAACAACTAAGCGTTCCTCCGAGCGCCAGCCGGCAGGAAGCGGCACAGGCGCCGCACGGGGCCGGGAGCGGGGGTCAGGGCGCAGGGGTGCGGGGCTGGGGCAGCGGCTCTCCCTCACCTCGCAGCCTCCGCGCCAGGCGCTTGGCCCAGGCCACTCTCCGGGGCGCGGCGCCGTCGGGCGGCCCCGGGAGGCGGCCCAGCCCCTCGGCCCCGCCGCGCCCCGCGGGGCCGCGCCGCGCCCGCCGCCCGCCGCCCCCGGCACCGCTGCCCAGCGACGACGCGGCGCCGGCCGCGCGGCTGCCCCACTCCACGTCCATCTCCAGCACCGGTCCCGCCGCCGCCGCCGCCGCCCCGTCCTCCTCGGGCTCGAAGCCCGGGTTGTCCCGGCTCCAGGCCTGCCGCGAGCAGGCGGAGAGCGGCGGCGACGGCGGGCAGGAGCCGGCCCGCGCCGCCTCGCCCAGCCGCTCCAGCTCCAGCTGCTCCCGCCCGCGCCGGCAACCGCCGCCGCCGCCCGCCATCGGCCCGCCGCCGCCGCCCCTTCCCCGCCCTCCGGCGGAAAGCCCGGGGTACGGAGGGAGATGTAGTCGCCCTGGCTCCCGGCGGGAGCGGCGGCCGGGACCTCCTTCCCGCCCTCCTCCTCCTGCACTCCTCCCACCCTTCCCTCCCCTCTCCAAGGCTGGAAGCGCCCAGGCGAGCCGTGCGGCGGGCAGACCCGGACCAGCGGTTTCACATCGTTTTAAGGAGAGGTATTAAAGCAACCCACGCCCGGCCCCGACCCAGCAAACAGTAACGCAGCCCGCAGGTACAGGGTTTTGTGGTTTTATTTAAGTCCCGTTACAGAGCAAGACACCGCCCGGCAGCGCAGAGAGCGGCGCGACCCTCGCCCCGTGTGTCCCGCAGCCTCTGCTGGTGGCCCAGGGGTGGCCACCGGGTCATGGACCGCCCCGAACCCGAAAAGTCACCACGCGAACTACATTAGCGAACAGTGACCTGAAATGAAGCTACGCCCCGCTGCCATTAGCCAGGGATTGAAAAAGAAGGGAACCGTTACTTTTGCCTCCCTTTTTAAAGGGTGACTTCGTTATTTTCTATGCTGTGGCGGTCTTGAGAATCCTCAGCACTCTCAAGTTTTTGGTTGCTGTTATCGTCAGAGACCTCAGCTGAAACGCGGACCTGGCTTTCCCTGCTTTCTACACTCGGGAAGCTGTCCCCTCTGACAGCAGACTTGCTGTCATCGCCTTCTGCCTCATGGCTGTCGAATTTCTGCCTGCTGTCGTTTTCCATGCTCCGGTCAGGCTGATTGCTGTCCAGCTCGCTGCTGTCCTGCCCGTGGCTCTTGTCAGACCATTCCACGCTGATGGCATGCTTCTCCAGGGAGCGGCGGGAAGCAGAATCCTCCCGGGAGAACCCTGCTCGCTGGCTGTCTGCATCCAGATCGCTCTCATCTTCCACAGTGGCATCATACATGACCTGTGTTAGAGAGCAAAACAAGAGCCACTGTCACTCCTGGGAAATCATCTGTCAACAAGTGCTGCCCTACTGCACTAAAGCTGCTTAGGCTGAGGGGACACTCAAAGCTTGCATGGTACATCTCTGCCTGGAAACACTAACTTTTATGGAGTTATATGAACCCTTCACATTATGAGAAATTAACATTTGATCCTGTCCTCAGATTTCATGTGTGTGAGTACATCATTGCAGTATTGCATATCTTGCAGCAGCAGGCTACACTCTTGCCTTGGCACCATCAACACCCCCTGATTTGGGGTATCCAGACAAGGGAAAATAGATTCCTTCGCTCATGCCTACTTTCCCCTCACCGATTCTTCTCAAAGCTGACTCCCATAAAACAACATGTCCATCTTCAAGTTCACTACCCATTTCCAAAAACATGGGTACCACTGCTCAGTGCCGTTTACCTTTTTTGCATCTTTGCGGAGTTTGATAGACTTCACCAGTGCGGCCTTTGCCCTCATCCTGTAGGCCACGCTGTCGCCTCTGCCGGCGTTGTCTCCCCGGGTGAAAGGGAATGGGGGGAATGGTACAGTTACTGGAATGTCTGTGGGAAAACCTGTGACAACCTCATCAGATTCATCCGTGTCATTGGAATCATTATCATCATCATCATTGTCATTCACATCTTCATGGCTTTTGCTTGACACATCAGGAAAGTGCTGGAAAACATTTATTATGCATCAGGCAAATGAACACAGATGTGAGATGTGCAGACTGGTATCTGTCCTGCTAGCCCAGGGCTTATGCAGTTTTGGGGAGCTATGTGCAGGCATTTCTTTGAATTCACCTCACCCTGCCTAAGGAGGAGATGCTATTTAGGGAGAGATGCTACTGCAAGAACTGCACTTGAATGAGGAAAATTAGTGTTGCTACACACTGGCTGCCCTGCAGCACTCGACTGACATAGTGTCATTCGAAACTCTTACCGGTTCCACTGGGACATCCACGCTTTCTTCTGAAGAGTAAAGGGTCTGAAAGCAATATAAAACTCCCTATTAGTTCAAAAAGGCATGTACAGTAGAGCTGATTAGCATGTTGACTATTGTTTAAGCACTTAATCCTAACTTGTACATCTTGTCATGGAAAGATGCTCCTGCTTTCTCTTCCAGCTAGCTGCCCATACCTGCTGAGGTGATGCCAGGTCAGTCTGTGTGTGCTGCTGACTCTCCCAAGACTGAGAATTCACACGGTCATGGTGATATCTGTGCAAGTGATGGCCCCTGGGGTCCTTCGAGAGAAAATAAAGTGGGGGAGATGGAGGTTAATCCACGAAGGATTAGGCAAAGCTGCCTGCATCACAACCTCTGTTTTCAGGCAGAGGTGGCATCTGCAATACATACTCCTTTTGCACAGGATGTGCCCTCAGCTATTCACTGCAGTAGGAAGAGGACTCAGAAACAAGGCATGATGAACATTATACCCAAACAATACTATATAGAAGATGTGCCTCTCCCATTGGCAGAGCCTGAGGAATTTCAGGTCAGTTTCTCCAGCTTGTTTTTGTTGAGTGGAATTTGGAGCTATGTCTAACAATCATTGTTTCTGCTAATTGTCTGGTCCTTTTCCCAAGGGTGATTTATCTCCCTCATCATGAAGACTCTAAGTGCAGTAGCTGATTCTCAGAGCAAAGAATTGATTTTACATGGGTAGCAGCTGGCAGTGGAGTATAAATCAAATAGCTATATACAAAATTAATACAGTTCACTTACATCACTCCAAAAAATCATGGGAATTGGATTAAAGTGCTCTTCCAACACCAAATATTGTCATCTGATCCACACTAACAAATGTGGGCTGTAGTAGTTGTGCCATGCTATAGTCCTTTTCTCTTTTTAACTGGCAACTAACACATTTTTAATTAAGACAAAAGGTTTGCAGTGCTGGTCCAGAGATAGAACTAATGAAAGTCTTCAACCAGGACACCAGACACAGGAAAAAGTCTATGAAACTGGCTCCTAACAGCCAGGTGAGGACATGCCCTGCAAGCATCTACAATCATAAAACAAGTACCAGAAAATATGTATTAGAGGAAACAAAAAAAAAATCAAAAAGTATTTATTAAAGATAATTAATAGAAAGACAAAAGGAGCTTACATATTTTTCTTCAGAGCTGGCAGAAATGGCATGCTGCTTGGATTTACTCACCTTGAAGGGAGAAAAGAAAAAAGCATTTATCAGTATTTCTCACTAAGATGCAAAGAAAATAATACAAGTGATTGGTGATCCACATTTGTGATTTACTCACTGGCCATGCAGCGGTGATGCTGATAAGGCATAAACACAGAACTGCCACCTTCATTGTGATGTTTTACCTAGAAAATATTTTGGAACAATGAGTCAACAAGGTAAAGTACCACAAAAATGCCATAGGTTTTTCCTTTTTCCCAGTGTACTTCACTGTGCTGAGAACAGCTCCCTGCTATGGATCCAACCTGCACATACTAATTTTTTTCTTTTGTCCTCCATCACCACCGCACACCCAGCTGGTTTGTCATGACTTAGCTACTCAAAAGCTGCAATAATTTTTAAGAGGCTCTGAGAAGAGCTGAGCAGTTGGTGAGAGTGGCCACATTGAGAAGGTGAACTGAATCCTGTCACCTAATGACTTGCACAGACAAAGGAAAAGCTTTGTGATAGCCAAAGTGTTATCAATATCAGCTTTGGTTTATCTTCATTCATTTAAGGTATTTTTTTTTAGAAGAGACAGCATAAAGCCAACTCAGTTTGGATTCTCTTGTCAGTTATTTTAAAACTAGTTTTCAGGGTTATTAACTTGAGTTTCTGAGTAAAGTTATATGAACATAAACTGCTTTTATTGATAGACCTTTATTTCCCCCTCCAGAAGTTTGAACAAAATAACCTGTGTTTCCAAACAAGAGATAATGTGAAATATCTGCTTACATTGCAGTTTTAGCAATTTAATAAATGACTTATTCCTGCTGAAATTAGGAGAGTGCTGAGCTACAGTAAATTTTGGTGCTTACAGACCAGTTCCCAGGATACGGAACATCCCTGAGAAATTAAACCAATTCACTGATGAACAAGAGTCATTTAAAACTTTGGTAAATCATAGCAGGAAAAAAAGGCTACTTAGGACATATTTAAAATGCACTAGTAAGGCCAGCCCTGAGACAGGACACTCTACTAGAGGTATTGCAATTTCAAGTTACACAGAGAAGGAAGAGTGTCCCATCCATTCAGGATTGTGCAGCACAAACTGTGAGCCTGCCAGAAAAAACAAGGACACTGCCAGACAGTGTTTACATGAGGGATAAAGCTTTCTGTGTTCAAGCACCAGCTTTGAGTTTCCAGCACATGATTCAGTGGCAGAGTTTTCAATAACCTCCTCCTGACATCTATAAGCACGCAGGTTTAAAATTGTCATTATGTATAATACCTTGCATTGCTAAAGCAACCTTGCTCCTATAAAAACACACCTTTTTCCACAGAGAAACATCAAATGTCCCTGCCCAGTGAAGCAACTTTCAAAGATCTCCTGCTCAATGTTTCCTTGACTAAAGCTGCAGACAGATTAGCACATGTCAGGTAGTAAAAGCAAAAAAATTACCTTTTCTGGTGCTGGAGGAGTCAGCTGCAGCAAGAACACTCCTAGTGATCCCAGCAGCAGCTCAAGTCAGTTGGCTCCCAGAAGCTCTGGCTTTCTCCCTTGTCCCCTGACTGCCTGACATCTCTGACCTTCGGGAATTTAAACCCTGTCCCAAGCACAGCCACCAATCCCCATGTGGCGGAAAAAGATGAGGTCATGAGGCTCCTGGCCGCCGTCCTGCCCACGTTCTCCTACACTTCCTCTTTGGCTTTGTGGCTTTTGAAGCAAACAAAAACTACTCTATGGTTAAAACATTACTTATGGGCAAGATCATTAACCAGCAGGTCTGTTGTATGCACAGCAGTTGGTATCATGTAGGAGGGCTTCAGGGCACATCTGTCCTCCTTTTGTGAAAAGGCAGAGCCCAGTTTCCCAGAAACCTTTTGTGCCCTGCTCTGTAGGGAGTAGGAATATGTAATGTGAGCAGGAAGAAAGAAATCTGAACATAAAATTAACCAAAAAGATGTTAATGCTTCCACAAAGTTGTAGATTTGCTCTCCAGGGCAATGGGAATTGCAAATATGGGGCAGAATATGGCCTTTTGTGTTTTTTGGTCTGACCTGGGTAAAAAAAAGTTAATAATATTAGTTGTCTCAGTAGGCATTCTACATCCAGAAACTTGTTTGTAAAGATATAGAAGAGCCAGCGATAGTCTAATTAAAAAAGATTTGATTTTGAGAAATTCTCACTTCTGTTCATTTGTGTCCCTTCTTGCTACTTTCTTAGATGGTTTGGTCAACCTAAAAAAAAAAAAAAAAAAGGAGGGGAGAAAGCAGCTATAGCTCCAGTTTGAGAAGTGCCATGATTAGCATTGGAAATCAAGGGATTGATTTCATCATGGTATGAAATTCTGTGTCTGCTATGGAGCAGGGCATTGGCCCTGTTGATGGGTGACATGTATTCTGGCAGTGCCTTGCTTGGACAGCCATAGCTTTGGGCAGACTGTGCATCAGCCGGGATGTACTGTAAGGCTCTGAGACCCTCTTCCATTTGGTGTTTTCTTAAAATGGCAATGAGGTGTCATTCAAACACAAGGAAACATCCCAAACAGCCCTTTCAGAAGGCAGAATATTTATAACTGTTTCAAAGCAGTTATCTTTCTCCTCATCTCTGATACCCAGCTAATGTTTGCTGTGTCCTTAGTCAAGCAGACAATAGACACCTTGTTGTACCAGCCCATGTTACCAGTTATCCTGTGCTTATTAACACTGTGGCATGTTTAGAAACATCTTGAGAAACATACCCAAGTTAGCTCAGCACCTGCCCATCACATGATCACACAGACCTAGCTAATTATATTTTTGAGCTGAGATCAGCAACAGCTGGAAGTTCAACTTAGTTTACTTAATAGAGTCTTCTAATATCCTAGAAGGAGAATTGGATAAAAAGATAGTATCTGGTACATCATTAGTAGTTCTGCATGTAAGGATCCACCTGAATGAGGACTATCCTGGCTTTTATTTTTGGAGCTATGTGACCATATACTAACTCAGGAAAGACTTTTCAACCAAAAGAAGCCTTCAGTAACTGGGATTTTGGCAGCATGATCTTTTGCAGATTTAGCCAGCTTTACCATCCTCCATCATGGCTGGAGCTCAGTGCTCCTGGAAGCCAGTTAGTTTACTGACGCTCTTGAATGCAGGTACAAGCTGTAAGTGGGTGCTCTTTGGAAGTGTTGGGTTGAGCATAACGTAGTAGCTGATACTATTACTTAGTTACCAGTACAGCTTTAGAAAGGCACTGTTGTTGACTCCAAGGAACCCCAATTCAGGCCCTTAAGTAGCCAAGTACCTTTGATCCCCAAAACCAGTCCATCATTAACAAACTACTTCCATTGGACAGAGCAAGAAACTGAGACAGAGTGAAGCTTGGTGGCTCACACAGTTGAATGTGGAACTGGGTGTGCTGGGTCCTGCTCTCCTGTCCACACCCTGGATCAAATTTTAAGCCTTAAAAACCTACTTTCCCTACAAACCATTCATCAAGAGATGCAGAACTGAAAAACAACATATGCTGAAACATCCTCTAGAGCTGTTTTCTGGCCAAAACCAGCTCTTGCAATCTGCATAATGGCATATTACTGTCTATCAGACTTTATATTATGTCAAGACATGTAAACAACCTGTTCCACCAAGTTCAGCAGCAGTTATCAGTGGTGCTGATGGAGCCATTAGAAACACAGTCTTCCTGCAGCTTGTTAAAGACCTTCCTGTACAAGTCAATTATCACCATGGCTTTTCAAGGCAAATGTTTTGCAAGTACCTGGAACACTTGACTCCCAGCAGAGACTCTATGTGACCCCCAGGGAGCTGTTTCTGGCAAACAACTGGTATTTCCAGTGTGCTGGGAGATGACAGTGTTTTTGAATATGCTGCCAAAGCTATATGGTTGATTTTGTAAGAAGTAAGGAACAACACTGATGTTTTGCAGTAATCCAGAAGCAGGATGTGAAGCGATAGTTATTACTGAATGTCTTCATTTGTGCAAGATTAGCCAGTACAGAGCTGTAGTAAATTTAGCACTTGTCTCATGCCTGTCATTGTGTGGTTTTTCGTCCTGTAAATCATTTTGTCTAGCTGAGAAATCCTTTACCTTGGTAGGGGGTAATGCTTCATATCCTGTCAGAGATAAGGAAAAAGCGGGGAACTCTCACCATTTTCACTTCCCACATAAAAATGCCTAATTCCAGAGGGAATGCTTGGCTGCTGGTGGCACAGCAGAAGCAACTTGCTTGAATTTGTACAGGTGGGAGGGTACATGATTTCAGCTTTCAAGAGCTGTCAGGGTCTGTGTGGAGGATGACTGTGACAGGCTGTAATTTGTTGCATGTAGGTGACATTTTCTACTTGTCTATCCTGTCAAACAAAGCTTTTGACCACAATTTCTTCCATCTTGGGCAGTGTTGGAAACATGTGGTTAGGCTGCTCTTTCATGTTGTCCAGAAGCAGTATCAGTGCCTCCCTCTGCAACCTCCAACACCTACCTAAGATCCTGAGCCAAGACATCAGCGTGATGCCCAGAGATATCTCTGGCTTGCACGGGAAATTCCAGCCTGCCTGCAATGACTTGTAATGCTCAGTCTTTCAGCATAGCTGGCTTTTGTTTAGTTTTGTTTATCAAAAAACAAGTCTAGAGGTAGACCAGAACAGCAGCATCTAGATGGCAAAGATAAGACTGGGAGAGAGAGGTTAATTTCTTCAGTACCATTAAGAATGTTATCAAGTACTGTTTTACAACTAGAATATCCCAAAGAAAAGCAGACATAGTAAACATGGGTTTCTGTGAAAGACAGATGAAAACCAAAACTTTCTTGCATTACTACCATAAAATTCTCCTTGGAAACTCAGCATGTCAGCCAATATAATATATCCCCCAAAGCCCTTACATTTTCCCAATAAAGGCTTCAAAAGCGGTGAAAAATTTACATTCAGCAGTTGATAGACCTCAAAAAAACCCCTTCTGCCTCTTAAATAGACTACACAGACCACCACAGTCTTTGTGACCAGGCCTAGAAGAGTACTTGGTGTGCAGAAGGGATATAGGTGTCAGATCTGTTTGATAAAGAAATTGCAACAGCGATTTGCTCCTTACGTGTGTGAGCAGGACACCCCAGTAACACATGCTTTGCAGCACAACTGTGTATCTTTTGCTTTGCACCACTTAGAGCAATAAAAGGATTTATAGTACCTCAGTTTCCCAGAGCCAACCCTAGCAGTTCCTGGAGGAGTTGCAGAACTAGGCATGACACTGAGCTAGAGCTGCAGTAGGTGATTTATTGGGACAGAACAGAGGCTTTCTGGGAAACAACTCCACCGTAAGCTGACAGCATGTTGGAAAGTGCCAGTGTCTGACACACAGCACAGTCTTTTGGTCTGTCCTTATCTCCCTCTCCATAAAGAGAGCCCAGTCGCTTGTCTCTGATTTCTGAGACTAGTTGCTACCTGCTCACATTTTCCAATGCTGTTTTAGTAACAGCTTTGGAAAGTGAAAAAAAAAGTAATATTTGAGAAACTGCCATACAGCTGTGGCCCACAAATCCTGGAGGATGAACATCCCCAGTCAGATCCCAGCTTTCACAGAGGCAAGTGGCTGCTCCTGCTACAGCAAAAATACAGTTCAGCTGTCTGTAACTTGCTAAAATGGGTCCTACTAATGTTTCCTCCCTTGACTGTTATAGCCAACTAGAAAAAACGACTTTCTGAGATATTTTTTCTTTCCTGTTGAAATTCATGTGTTTTAATACAGAAGTCGGTGTAGCAGCAGGAATTAAACCAGCACAAAAACATTAGGTTACTTTCAGGTCATCAGAGTGACCAGTGTGAAGAGCAAAACACCAGATATTTCAGTGCTGGGTTTGTGGCTGTGCTGCAGCTCTGAATTGACAGAAAAAGAATAACATTTGTTTCAACTGGAAAATAATAAACACAATAATAGTCTGAACTACTATTAGAAACAAAACCAGAGAGAGAATATATGGTGTACATCATGTTTTCATAACTGTGCCATTTTGTAATGTATGTAACCCTAGAAAAGCAATTTTTTGAGAACAGGGGGATGAGATTTTCTCATCTCAGTGGGAGCTGAGCTCAATCTGTTGTCTCTGGAGCTGAATACTGCTCCAGGATGAAGGAAAGCACGCAAGGTGTGTGTGCCTAAATCCTCTATATGCTCATAGGAAAGTTTGCCAGCTCAGGGCTCACAGTGTTAGTGCTGACGGTAATTTGATGGTAGGAAACAGCTTTACAAAAGATTGCTTTTCAGACAAGCTTTGCAAAAACTTTATGACAAATTGTTTCCCTCTTCCCTCTGCTCAGTTTTCTGTTTCCTATCCTACTGCAAAATTTTCTCCTCACACTGAGAAAGGACACTAATGGAAACATCTGAATATGCAGAATGGGTATGGAAAGAACAGCATCTTCTTGCTCTGCATTGTGAAACTGGTGGAAAGTCACAAGATGCCTGTTCTCCCTAGTGCAGCGACTTTTGGCAGGGCACCACAGGAATGATTTGCACACCCCTCTGCTCGTGTCTTCACTAAGCTCTTCTGGGAAAGCACAGAGTCACCCCTTCGCTGCAAGAAACAGAACAGATTATAGCACAGCATGACAGAGAAGAGTCAGACAGGGAAGATGATGGGCCAGCTCCTCTGCAGTCACCTGTACACTGCTTCTGTGTATAATTGAGATGAGC